AATCAATTTTCAACCGCACAAGAATATCCAAATTTTTAGTTGGAGATTGAGATCCATTTTTAGCCCAGTAAACGTTCGAATTGAAAGGGAGGTATTTCTAGCAAAAATGTAGCCATTTGAGTTATCTTTTCAACGTATTTTGAATCACCTTAATCGAATACCTGGAAAAAAGTTATGACAAAAATACTGAAAGAGACGCATAACACAACAACCAAAACAGACAAAAATGGTCTGTTAACCGACCAAAAATGGTCTGTTGACGGACCATTTTTGGTCTTTTTTTTGGTCCATTAACCGACCAAAAATGGTCTGTTCTGTTAATAACCGACCAAAAATTGTCCGTTAACAGACCATTTCGGTTCATTTCAGTTGTTAGGGAGTGTTTGGTTTTATTTGTTAACTAAAAGGGTGGTATAGTCATTTTAACAAAATCATATTTTGTAATTGTTTTATTCACTTAAGAGCATTTTTATCTTTTGAACTCCAATAGACCAATTTTAAAATATACAATGAACGAAAAATCAATTATGAATTATGGGCCTTTAACTTGATCATTTTTAAAAGAACCACTATCCATTACTTAAGGCTATGCAACATAAAAATTTATTTAGATAATTGGCATGTAATTTAAATTAAACATTGCAAACGCACTGTGACAGATAATATTTATTTTAGGTTTCCAAAGTGGAGATGATTATCTGACCAGATAATATTTACTTTAGGTCTCTTAATGCATCCCACGACAGAGAATTCTTCGAGTGCAAGATTCAATTTCATTTGGACTTTTATCTCCTTCAATCACTTTTAACATTTTCAACACTACACGATCAAGAATCAATAGATGCTATAAANTTTTAACATTTTCAACACTACACGATCAAGAATCAATAGATGCTATAAAAAATATGCTAACCCATCAGTTAAGTGAGTTACCTTGGTAGAACCACAACAACGCCAAAAATGGACCTCCAAATGAGTATTTGGTTTCGCGCAAACTGGTGTCCTCAATGGGAAAAATGTTGGAAACCTGCAGAAATCGAAGCCAACCAAAAGAGAGCAATCATCTCAAGGAATATTACTATACATCACTTCAATACATCACTCCAATGTACAATTTCCTTCATGGTGCATTTTATGTTTTAAGAGATTTTTTTCAATTGAATTTTCACTTTTTCTTTATTGCGCGGTTGAGAGAGGGTAGGCAGGTGTCTTATATTTTAGTTATGCTCAATTAAGTGTGTGTTTGAGGGATATTATTGAAGAAATGATGTATTTTAAATAATAATATTATGAAAAATATGTGGTTAAAAAATAAAGAAAAGTTATTGATGTGATAAAAAATATTATTTTATTGAAAAATGTATAATTAAAAATGAGTTTTAAAAGAACGTATTTTTAAAGAATGTGTGTCAAACATGAACTAATTTTATCATTATCATCATGGTAATTATCTATTCTTTCGAATTATCCAATTAGTATATTTGTTATTAGGTATTCAGTTCGGTTTTAAGGTGATGTAATAGTCACCAGTTGTTTCTTTTAAGGTGGTGTAATAGTCACATGTTTCTTTCCTTACAAGGTGATGTAGCTCCCCAACTGCCATTGAATGGTATATTTAAATTCCATTATAACTGTATCTAGTATATACCTTTATACTATGCTTTGTATTGAAGTCGAGGATTCTATCTCTAATGCAGTAGATTGTCACTCGGGATTTGATGAGTAATGTGCCAACGGAGGGCAAACAAGGCAGTGAAATTAAGGGAACCACCATAAGAGAGGAGAATTAGATTTCAGAATTCAAAAATCTGAGCCTCTCAATGAGCATAACAAACGGTGGGTAAGAGTAAAAATGTTTAAACGAGAAACTCAGCCTCAACTTAACTGCTTTATATACTAGAAAAAAATGTTGCAGTTTAAATAACATGCTTGACAAACTACGGTAACAAGTAAAAAGTTTATCCACCATTTGGTACAACAGAAGTAAAACATGTTGATCTATCAATACTCAATTGTACAAGCAGCGAAAACTGGAACAGAGAAAAAGAGTAAGGCTTTATATTTCGAACATTGGAGCCGGTAAATGAGATGTTGCAGACTCACTTCATTCAGTGGTTGTCCAGAACCGCATTCAAAATTCTACTCAGTTCAACTAGTATACAACAGAGTCTGGCAATGGATCTTTTTGCTACAACATTGCCTAGGAAACCCCCCTAGAGCCCGACCCAGTGTGAACGACCATTGGAGTTGTGCATAGGAGATGCACTTGGCGATGTCACACACCATTCATACCATACCTGTGGTCATTAAATTAAATGCAATAAAATCAGGTGAGGCATAGAGCGTTGAGTAATTCCCAACCTATATTATGCTTCTTGCCCAGTGTTTTTTATGCATATCCTAGGACTAAAAATGCCATTTCAAAATTAGAAGGATCAAACCCCACCAACCAAAAACAAATCCTAATTCACTTCTTGCCCATAGAGAATAATAATGATCATTTTCAGCAGCAAGTATACAAATTGCCAGTATGTCCATTACTTGAGGCTATGCAACATAAAAATTTATTTAGATAATTAGCATATAATTTAAATTAAACATTGCAAACACATCGTGACAGATAATATTTATTTTAGGTTTCCAAAGTGGAGATGATTATCTGACCATCTTAATGCAGCCCACGACAGAGAATTCTACAAGTGCAAGATTCAATTTCATTTGAACTTTTGTCTCCTTCAATCACTTCTAACATTTTCAGCACTACACAATCAAGAATCAATAGATGCTATAAAAAATATGCTAACCCATCAGTTAAGTGAGTTACCTTGGTAGAACCACAACGCCGCCAAAAATGGACCTCCAAATGAGTATGTATATGGTTCCACAGAAACCGGTGTCCTCAATGGGAAAAATATAGGAAACCTGCAGAAATCGAAGCCAACCAAAAGAGAGCAATCATCTCAAGGACTATATATCACTTCAATACATCACTCCAGTGTACAATTTCCTTCATGGTGCATTTTATGTTTTCAGAGACTTTTTTCGATTGAATTTTCACTTTTTCTTTATTGTGCAGTTGCGGGAGGGTAGGCGGGTGTCTT